TATGACGACAGACTGTTTGCTGAAAGGTGCGTCTCAAATACCCGGTATCTTTCTTTATATGGTGATGCTCAGGACGCGCAATGCCAAATGCTGATTTTTCTGTTGTCCTGTTGCTTGGTGATGTAGAACACAGTGCACACATTTGTAGTTTGTTCCTGTAATCATAACATGATCTTTGAACTTGTTGAAATCATTGTAATTTACTTCGTAATCCCTATTGATTAATAGGAGGGACAAGGTCACATGTAGAGTTGATTATAGGCTGGTCCTTCCCATGTCAAAAACGTGCTCTGTGTGCAAATATAATATTCAGCGTGCTTTAATGACCTCGCAAGGTGAGATAAACTGACAAGTTTGTGTGCATGTGTGTGTGTGTGTGTGTGCGTGTGTGTGTGTGTGTGTGCGTGTGTGTGCGTGTGTGTGTGTGTGTGTGCGTATGTGTGTGTGTGTGTGTGTGTACATGTGTGTGTGTGTGTGTGTGAGAGAGAGAGAGAGAGAGAGCAACACATTGTATCAGCAGATGATACAATGTGTAGTTGATCAGATGAACTAGATCAGATCACGTGTAACCCCCCCCCCCTCAGCGGATGTGCTTGAAAATAGACGCTTCCTTAATGAAATCCACTCTAAAATCCTCCCGAGTCGTTGCTGAGACTAAAATTTGCTGTGAACGAATCTATTCATCCGCACACTCCGGAGAACGGCTGCCTGCTGCTAATGATGCTCCGTCCGGATCCTGATTAGGCTCATTATCTGTACTCATCTCTCTTACATGTGCAGCAGATGAACAGGAAACTCGAGTCGACTTTTAAAGGCCATCCTTATAATTATAGTTACGCTTAGTTCCGTCGTCATAGCAGACTTCACAACATATTAGTTTCACCAAGAACAGATCACGTTTGGAAAACAGGACACGTTCTTTCGTGTATCGATGATTGCGCTTTCTTGATATTAAGTGCAACACCCAAAACCATCTTTTTGTTTTTCAGAAATTATTTGCGCACACTTCCATAAGTTGAGGACGACTCTTGTTATTTCTTTCTGTTTTTCTTCCTTTTATATGCCTTCGCCTTAAAGTACAGTACAACACGTACCTGCAGCAAGATTCTAGGAATATTGATTACTTGATAACTTTCAACATTTTTCTATCTCTTGATTTTCACCTTTAATTTTACGCAATACATTTTGCCTTTTTCTGATTTTCTGATTTCTTTATTTTATACAATCCATGACACAGAAATTCACCAAGTTTCAATTCATAGCTCTTTATTTAGGCTCTTGAAACCAACAAGATCTTCGTAAGAACTGAACCTCCGGCGATAACGGTTCAAACGTTTATTCTTAGATTGCCTGAATCATTTGATGTTATACGTCGATGAAGGTTAGACATCTAGGTAATAAGATACGCCAAAAATCAGTTACTGAAGCAACTGGATATGATTTTGGAAACGTTTCAGGTAGCATCCACTACCTTTCGTCAGTGACACTAGGAGACCAGAGGAGAAATGTAGGCTTTTAAGCACGAACTATTTATAAGCACGATAATATAAACCTGCATTTCTCCTCTGGACTCTTAGAGTCACTGACGAAAGGTAGTGCATGCTACCTGAAAACGACTGGCCGTTTCCAAAATCACATCCAGTTGCTTGAGTAGCTGATTTTGGCGTATTTGATGTGATATTTGAAACGATGCTCCAGTAGAGGAGACAGTCTCTCTGTGCAGAAAGCACAGCTGCGTGACGGACGATATCGTAGATAATTGGCTAATTAGCCCAGCCATAGCCTAATCCCCGGGGGAGATTTAATGGCACGGCAGGAAGGCTGTCTGTGGGATGAAGCAATGAAATTGACAGCTAATCAGACGACATTATATGTCCACCAATAATCAAGGGACGTCGGAAAAACAAGGATGCTCTTTCAACTGTCTTCAGCGGAAAATTTGTCACATACAGTCCGAATAATTGAACGACATATGAGTGAGTGACTGAATGAATGAGTGAATGAATGTCTTTGTGTATATTCCAACATGTAAGTACAAGACGTTGTGACGGTACACTCGAGTTGTTTCAACTTATATCAAAGCCACCACCAACACAGGGGACAATACAATATTCATTTTCACCCGAGCGAAGTGAGGAAAGTCGTGTAAAGTGCCTTTCCCAGGGGCACAAGATAGATTGCATGTAAGGACTCGAACCCGGGACCTCTTTGTTCCGAGTCGAGCACTCTGCCGCTACGCCACACGACCCCATGACTGTTGATACTTGTACAGTACTGAGCACGTAACCTGATGCTTCTACATGTAGTTCTACCAACAGACACAAAAGAAGAGACAGTCTGTCTGGCTGAAGACCAAGGCCATCAACCGGCACGGTCTGGAAGCAAATTCGCATAACATGCTTGGTGGTGTTTAGGGAGACCTTTAGTTAAATGGGGAGGGAGGTTGGGCATCTCCCCAGGCCTAACTCTGCCCGCACAGTAATTATAAGGTCACACACCGCTCTGTGAACAACTACAGACTGATGCTTACGGAATCTGAAATGTACAGATTAGATGTTGATATCATGTAACATAGTTTCCTTTTTCAAAGGTAATGTTGAATCACACCCATTCTCCGTTAACGTGACTGTGGAATTGGGAGTAGGAAATGGTAGAAAATACAGCTTACTTCAGTTTAACCCTTTCTAATGCTTAGTGCTTAACTTGTAACCACGGCTTAAGCTTTTAAAAGTATCTGCATCTTCCTCAATTTGAACCATGACATTTTGATTAGTCTTGCATGGGCGATGAACTAATTGGCTTACCAGAGTCTAATCATCTGTCTAACCTTGGTAAATCATTATATGCTAGTAAGAGGCAGATAAAAAGCACAATTAGTGGCGCTTGGGTGGTGATGTGGTCTTCGTGACAAACAACCCCGAGTGTTATATAAATAATTTCACGTTGCTGAAAACGTGTGAGAAAACACGTCTGCATTTTCTTGTAAATATTATTTACAGTCAGTATATGGTCCATGTATTGTGATATATTACTTGAGACTTTCTATCTCCAAGGTCTCATCAGGTGGTACGAATTTGATTTTTTATCATGTATTCAACCACCAGTAGCAACCGTTGCTAAGACACATGTACAGCGAGGCATTTATTAGCAATATAGGTTGATTTAAATTTGGTTATGGTCACTCTGAGTGGGACGGTGCCTGAGATAAATGGACGGACGTGGCCAATTTTAGCGTCTTACATAAAGTCCCTGCAGCGATGATTTTTCTTTGTATCGCTCATCGCCTAGAGGGGTGTGTAAAATTGCTCATTAAGAACTCATCAAATCACTCAGGCATTAGAAAGAGAGACGTATGGCTTTTCTTGCGTCTCACGGCCGTAACCACTTGGGTTTTAAGATTGGGGTGGAGTATTTGACGGTGCAGTTATTTTTTTTCCAGTTTACCATTTCATACATCTGTACAATTTTCATTTCTTATTCTATCTCAGCTCGCATTCTCCTTAAAATAACTCGTGAAGGATATTACGTTCTGATTGTAATAATTCACAGCAATTGTTATTCATCCTCCCATACGGTTCATTTTGGTTTGTCCCTTAGAAGAAGACGTTTTCACCATTTTTGGTCGTAAAAGTACGTACTGTCATGCGCTGTCATTTCCCTCCAAATCAGATAAAGAAGAATCAGAGACGGACATGGGAGGGAGGCAATAGGAAGAGATCCTTGTCCGGGGCATTTCAGGTAATATGAGCTTCTTGCTTCAAGTTTCTTGTTATCCGCTTTATTTCAGCTTTCCTGTAACAGTAGTTTTCTTTTTGATCGAAATATAATCATGGTGTCGACTAATTTCAAAGAGCTGTGGATGTGATCACCTGAATTCTGCAATCCTTTAACCGTTCACCCTTGTTCAGTTCAGACGTGCAATATGGCAACAGTTTATATGTTACATTTTAATGGGCGACCAATTTTAGGAGTCAACGGTTAAAATGATCATGAAACTTAGGTCGTACAGAATAGATATATTGCCGTCTGTGCGGCTAGCTTGCAATGATTATATTTCTAGTTCATTGGGAATCGACGTAACGTTTGCCTCGGATTTTTCTTTCAAAATGGCAACATCGGAGAGCATGCCGGATAAAAACAGATTTCAATCTCTGTATTTAATGGTCTATTTCTTAGAAATTAAATTTGTTTTCGAAAATGCATATGGTTCAGCTGCCACCCTTTAGTACTAATCGTAAGTTTCTCATTAATGGTATGGGTTTACCAGATGTTGCATGTATTACGTGTACGTGTATACCGGGCGTATGTTATAGGGGCTTGGACTCAATCCTATGACTAATAGGCTACCCAGTATGGTCGTTTGAGATCTCCCGAAGCAAAAGTCGTATAACCGTTACTTCTATCTTCTCCTTGAGCCGACTATCAGTCTTATCAGTTGTAGAAATACTTTTTCTGCAATTCAGAAATACTATAAATCCAGACCTAAACCAATGGCATGGTATATACAAATTGAATTTTGTCAAACATCTTATATGCAATTTGAAAAATACATGATAAATTTTTAGTATAGTACTAGTATAACATAGAATCAGCAGTAAACACAAATTTAGCTCCTAAACAACGTTGGCACCATTGAACCCCAGTAGCCTGATTTTTACACACTTCAAAATTGCAGGTTGCTTCATTTTTCTTCGTGAAATACTGGAAATTTTGTCTGCAAAATTCAAACTTCTTATGGTTATGAGATCTTCTTTTATACCTGCTTTTATATATGTCCACCATTTTAGCTTTCATCCTATTCAAACGTTTCCTTTCCTTTCCTTTCTTTGACTACACTTAACTTTCATGCTAGCGTTTCAAATTATCTGATAACATAGCACGGCAGTTAGAGTCGGGATCGATTCTGTTTTCCAGTGATACAACACAGCGAACCGAAGTCAGGAATGATGAACAACACAACAAGCTACGTCGGAGACGGTCCAGTGCTAGAGGTACCGGCCATGAAGCATTCCACGTCGGTTACCGTGGTCATCGTGGCGTTTTTCGTCGCCATCATCCTCCTGAGCGTGGTGGGGAACGCTCTGGTGTGTGCCGTGGTGTGCCGGAACCAGAACCTGCGCAGTGCAACCAGCTACTTCATCGTCAACTTGGCCTTGAGTGACCTCATGGTGACCGTGCTCTGCATGCCCGTGACTTTGGTCAATCACATCTTCACAGGTTACTTACACATTTCTGTCCTCAATAACTAAACTGTAAATAAGAGCTGGTCCTGTTCATGTTTACCGAATTCAAAACATATATTGTTTTTGCTCAGTTTCGTCTTCTTCTTCCGTTCCAAACACTGACCTCTGACCTGGCTAATGACCTGATTTGTTGACGTCTCTCACCATGGTAACTGATGTTGGGTTACATCATGTTGCAATTTTATAGTAGGAGGGATTTATACTTCTTTTACCATATATATGAATGTATTTGAGTGACAGAGTTAACAAAGCAGACCATATGCGAAGGTTAACATTATGCATTTGCTTTGCAAATGTTACCTTTAGCCATAATCAATGGCTACCGTCGATAATGGCCCGTTTTTTTCCGGTCTTTACTGTGATATTACTCCTGGCCAGTTATCTAAAACCCCAGAAAATCTCGCCATATGAAACCACCGAGGGAAAAGTGCGTAAATCCATGTTTCCAGCACGGCAGACCGACATCTAATTTGTATTCTGTGACTTACGCTAGCAGATTCCAATTTACTGTGTAAAGAAAGGAGTTTATAAGCTTCCCGATCCCACGATAGGAGTCTTAAAACCTCATCTCCCAAGATACTATTCTTCAGCAGATTTATTTCCTTCATGCACTAAATGAATATTCTTCCCAACATGTCAAAGTAATGCATCTCTGCTGAATCGTCAAGCTTTATAACACTCTCCAAACGGCTTGTCTACATGTGTTATAGGGTCAGGGACGGGTTTGGTCAATTGTTGACAATTCGTTTTGTATGCAGGATGGCGTTTGGGCGAGCTCATCTGTAAACTGACCAGTCTGCAAGGTGTGGCTGTAGCCGCTTCGGCCTTTACTCTTGTGGTCATTGCCGTGGACAGGTAAGTTAATATCTAAAAGAAATGTCCATGGACCAGAACCCCACATTTCACATGTCGTATACCACCTGACGTGGCAATTTCTCATGATGATTTTTGTGGAATTCATTTTGATATGATTGCCGAATTACACAAAAATATTCATATTTGATTATTCACCACTACCCATTCCTTTATAAGTGCAAAATGACTTGATCCATACGGGTTCAAAGTTCAAGGTCAGATAGTAAGGTCAAAGTTACCAATCTGCACCGTCAGATTGTATCAAAATATCAATTTGAAAATGTATTCCACAGACACACTTCTTTTCAAAAACCATAATGAGAATTTGCCACCTCTGGTGTTACCGATATCTCCTCTGGCCCATGGACTATTTGATAGACTATTGGATTCTTAGATACACAATCTATTGGGTTTTGTGCGTAGGCGCCTAGCTACGTTCAGAACCTTTTAGCACCCTTCCTCCGGGCGTATAATTAACTGATCTGCGGCTTCTCAGCGCAATGAAATTAGCCCTGCCATCAGGCCCCGAGGAAGGACGTGTATCTGAAAGGTTAACGTGACGTCGGCAGTTCTAGATCAAATCCCAATTGGCTGCCTATCATTTTGAACCAAATTTATGCGGGGAAGAAATCTTGTTGTTATTTAACGTTATCTTAACTGGTGAAGCAGTACGCTGTGATTGTGAATACTTTCTGTATCTGTATATGTATAGCCGGTATAACCGCCCTTCGGCGTAACACACCAGCTTCGCAGGCATGCGGCGCGGTGGTAGCTGGCTATATCACACCGAACGACTTGTTACTCTCATCCTTTGCACATTTAATTGCAGGCTTTGTTATTTAAAGCTTTCTAGTGATGATTCCCCAACTGTGATTGGTGGCAACGTGTTCCAATCTACTCTGCTTTGTTTCCTTTAGTAAGGCATTTTCGTACATATAGAGAACAGCCTTTGCTATGCAGCCTATCGACACAGAATTCCTCAGTATAGATGTAATGTTTGTCCCACTCCATCAGATACCGTGCCGTCATGGACGCCATGGCGCCTAAGCTGAACGGACGGCAGAGTCTGGCCATCCTAGGTTTCATCTGGGTGTTGTCCTTCGCCGTGATGGTGCCTCACGCCTTGGTCCTGGGTACCGCGGAACGGTACCACGGCAGGGAGAACGACACCATGGTCATCTGTAAGGAGTGGTGGCAGTCGGACGGACACCGACAGGCCAACACCCTCACGGTCTTTATAACGTGCTACCTAGTTCCGCTACTGATCATTGCCATTCTGTACATACGGATCATCATCCGCATCGGGCTCAGACAGAAATCTTTCGGCACGGAACCCAGAACAGAAAGACAGAGACAAAAACAACTCGGGTACTCCGACAAAAAGGTGACGATGATCCGTATGCTCATATTGGTGGTGGTCCTGTTCGCCCTGTCCTGGTTACCGTATCATGTGGTCATTCTCATGGTTGACTTCAAACATTTCACAAGTGCAGAGATACAGAGCATGTATTTGTACGCCTATCCCGTTGTTCACTGGTTAGGGTATTGCAACAGCACCATGAACCCCATTCTGTATGGCTACTGTAACAGGAACTTCAGAAAAGAGTTCCAAGCCCTCTTGGGAAACTTCGCGCATGATTTTCTGACTACCGAAACTCCCAACGAATTGCCCATGAAGAACAAGCGGGATGGTACATGTGTCTCTTCCCGCCGCACTGAGACATTGAGAAGTGGGACAATGGGTAAAAGTCCTACTGTTGTCACTGCAGGGGGTAATAACAAACCTACTGTAGTGGTCATGATGACAACTACGGTGTGAAAGATGATGTGTATTGGGTAAAGGGACTCTTTTTACACAACCAAGTCCATTACACATCATCCGTGAATAGTTTCATCAGGTTGGTAAGTCACTGAGTAAAGAGACTCTTTCTCCACAGCCAAGTCTTTTATTCAGTCGACGTTTCGGTGACCGTCTGTCACCTTCCTCAGGGCATCTATAGCAGTGACACCTGTACATGTGCTGTAGTGCAATGTGAAGCAGTCAGAATTGCCCTGAAGAAGGTGACAGACGGTCATCGAAACGTCGGCTGAATAAAAGACTTGGTTGTGTAGAAAGAGTCCCCTTACTCTGTGACTTACCAACCTGATGAAGCTATTCACAGATGATGTATAATGGTCCAACGAAGATCAAACTATCTGTCTATATTAGCATGACGCACATCATAGATCACTCTACCCACCGGTGCAATGGCAAAGTAGCCTGAGTGTCAGCCTTTTTAACTTTCGTCCGCTCTATCTGACACTCTGGCTAATGGCCAAGTTGGTAAAGTGTTCGTCTTGCATTCGGTAGGTCGTGAGTTTGATCCCCGGCCAAGTCATACCGCCAAAGACTTAAAAAGTACATACTGCTTCAGATTTCTCTGCCAAGCACTTAGCATTTGAGAAGGAGCATGGGAGTTAAACACACACCACTACCAGTGGACTAGCCCTTGCTTTACTGATTGCACAACTGTGTGGCCCATGGGCTACGAAACGGAGATGGGCGCCGCCATATGCGACCATGCTAATCATATCACTCTTGTGTCACAGTAGGCATCGTTTTGTTTCCAATAGATGATAGGATACAACCAACAGAAAAAAAAAGAAAATTGATACCAAAACTTAATCAAACAGAGTAGGACATTACTGTAAGACATGTGAAAGAACATCAGGAACAAACATGTAAATTGATATCAATGTCTCCGTCGCTGACTCTGTGCTAAGATGGTTTTATCTGTGGTAGAGATGTAAAGCGTACCCAGTACTAGTGCCTACAAAGTTCGACCAAATTATACCCTTACCAAAATTGAGGACACGTGTAATGTTATGTGTCTAATGGTATGTGTCTATGGATGGCGAGGAGCAATATACATAGCATTTACCTTAGTTTCCATTTGCACCCCCTAAACGTAATTACTGTATTCCATCACCAAACAGCATCGAGCTAGATAAATACCTCAAGAAAGAAATAACACCCTTTGCTTACTTTCTGATCTTGCGGATAACATCTATCTAAATATAAATTTTGTAGCGTAAAATCAAATATTTCAAGGACCGGTACCCATGTATAACATCATTCAGTAGTACAGTCGTACGTATCTACGTCAGTTGATGCTGGAATTTCAGTAAAAAGTATCAGTAGCTTCAACATAAGTGGTGTTGTGATTGTTTAATTTTCAATTTTGCTTGTACAGATTGTGTAAGTAATTTGTTTCTTTACAATGTCAGTCATTACTCTTGAATGCGTAAATTTAAATATCCGTGAGGCTCTGTTTGTAGTACATAAGTACCAGTGCGGTAGATGTTACATTAAACAGAGACTGATGATAGTCTGACACTGATAGCTTAACTGTAATGTTTTATGTTTTGTAGATACGCTCTAAGCCCTTTGTGCGGGGAAGAGATTAGAAACAGTGTGCTATCTACCAGGACTGGGCTGATATCACGGCGTTGTTTTGCTCGAGGCACAACTTTGATAAAACTCCATGTACGTGTACAACCATTGTGGCATTGATTTTCTTGTGGACAAATATTTCAATATGTTTATCTTTCTGTACTCAAGCATATCGTTTCTTGTGAAGAAAAATGTCCGTTTGGTGTAAATATATTTCTGCATGTAGTAACTGAAGTTCTGAGACCTCATACCTTCGCCAAATGATGTAAACCTTTACGACTGAAGAAATATACATGTTTCTCGTTGCATTGATTATTTGTATGAGTTATATATTGGGTTATACACTTTCCATGTTTACAGAAGGAAAACATATTGTTTTTGCTCAGTTTCTTCCTCTTCTTCTCCAAACACTGACCTTTGACCTGGCCAATGACCTGATTTGTTGACGTCTGTCACCATGGTAACTGGTGTTGGGTTACATAATGTTGCAATTTCATAGTAGGAGGGATTTAGACCCATGTCGCCATAAATGTGAATGTGTTTGAATAAGAATTAACAGCCTGAGCAGACCATATGCGCAGCGAAGGTAAACATTATGCATTTGCTTTGCAAATGTTACTTTTCTAGTCTCTTTTGTAATCACGAAACGTGCTACAGGGAAGATTTGTCCTCCAATGCCTTGGGTTTTTCTTGAGAACTCCCCCACTGCCATGGCCACTTCCACGTTGCCTTCTCCCTGCAGGTGAACTTGATGTTGTCCGTCCCGTCGTGGTACAGGACGAACTTGTTCTCGGCCTGTCCCGCACGGATGTGATACACCTGCCCATACTTGTCAATAATTTCTAATTCAGCATTCTGCCAAACCTAGAAGAAGAAACAAATGCAATTTAACTCCTAGCCTTGTAACTCTTATATCTGCTGCACTAAAATGTAATTATCCCATTAGAGAATGATGC